CCGGCTTTTTTCTTTTTGCTTATGTGGTGCTGAGGAATCGAACCCAGGGCCTCAGGCATGCAAGGCAAGCGCTCTACCACTGAGCCATCTTCCCAGCCCCTGAGCACTATTTTTAAGGACGTTCAAAAGCAAAAAAGGAGTAGGGAAGGAAGACTGAGATTTAAAGTATCACTGAGAAAATGAGTATACAACTTGTGGGTGGAATGGAAGGAAAAAAACAGAGAGAAAAGACGTGACATTGTCCAAAAACAAACGTACTCTTTATCATATTTATGTAATTGTAACCCCTCTGTACATCACTTTTATAACAACAACCAAATAGGAAAAAAAAACTAAAAAAATGTTTTTAAATAAAGTATCACTGGAAATGGTGCTGCGGCTCAAGTGGTAGAGCATTAGCTAGCCTTTAGCAAAGGAAGCTCAGGGGCAACGCCCAGGCCAGAGTTCAAGCCCCAGGATGAGCAGAAAATATCACTGAGCTTGTGGGGAGATTACTTTCCTGCTCCAGCATAACTGGGTCAATCCAGAAATGAGGACGAGGGCACAAAGACAGCTCCACTAATGGCTCAGGGTCTAAACATTCAGAGTACATGACACCTTTCTATCAACTACCACACTTTCTCACCATCAGCCAACCATGTGGTGACTACAGCAATGATTTGACAGAGAGCCCACAGAAGCCCACCACTAGAGAAGAGAACTACGCTTGTCGTCCTTCCACTTCTTGGTCCCAATGGTGCAGATAGTTGCAGAAATACATGGTCAAGAAGAGTAACTAAAGTTCAAGTTGTCTCAATAGATGAAATAAAAGACAAACCCCCAAGGAACAAAAAGCACAAGAGAAATTGGGGAGAGAAAAATCAAAAAAGCACATCTCACCCGGGCTCAACCACAGAATGTGATAAACAGCCAATCAAAATCTACCAAATTATTCATTAGCTTACCTTAGTTATAGGGGAGGAATGTCCTGGCCTTATTACCACACTGTTACAATGTATTCAACCTCATCCCAGTCTACTTCCCCCTTCCAAAAGAAATTGCAGCAGGATTCATTGTTCCATTTTCATAGTTGCAAATAATCTACTTCAACAGTATAAACTTTCCATTCCCCTGGTTAATCTAATCTCTTTCACCCTACC